TGACTTTGGTCAATTGCTCTGATCAACATGTTGACTTTTGACCGTTGACTTTGACATTTGATTATCAACCATTAACTTGTGTTTCCTCATTTCATTTCTCCTCATTTGTACCTCTAATCACATTCTTTGGGTGTGCAGATCCGCAAGTTCCTTTTAGCAAGGTAGTAGGTTGACTCAACTCCTCAAAGATGATAAACGAATTAAATTCCACAATTTAATTCTTCCTATTAATAAAGGTTAATTGAAACCTTTTAGGACATTCACAAACCATGGTTGTCGCCTAGCAGCAAGTCAGGGTTATCCGAGCTAAATGAGACGTTGTGAAAGAACTTATTCAAATTGGAATGACCATGCAATTGAATCCTTCTCTTATGTCAATACTCCTTATTCACATTATCAGATCATAGAATCCGATTGTCAATATCCTAATGTGAATCATTCCTTTTATATGATTATCCTAGTAAGATTTGAAGACTTTTTCTTTCAAGTCTTATTCACTACTCTGCGCAGATATTTGACCAATCATATCTTGGAGTATTCTCTCTCCTTTACTGAAAGTAAAGATTCCTTGTTGTAGATTCATTTGCTTACATGACTCTATTGAGAATCCTGATGAGCACCTTTAAGCTATGCCTAATTTAGCATGACCAAATAGTACCCTCAAAGATTAACAATATAGCCACAAACGATCTATGATGCCTCAAGTCTAAGGATTAATTTGCACCATTACAATTTATGAGTTTCAGCTTGACATGTGAGTAAAGACTTCTATGTTGTAACTCATGTGTTGGATTGCATTCAGTGTACTTGTTCTTCTACAAGCACCTACACACATATCGATATGTCTCCACACATATAAAGACGATGCTGTGTGTACTGGTCTTTGCGGAATATTGACGCTCAATCAATATCCCTAAACAATCTTTCTTGTCTATTGATAACATAATATGTGTTTTATCAAAGATGTCCTTAACTCTAACTATGTATACAACCTTTCTTGCCCATTGATAACATAATATGTGTTTAGATTTTTAATTTTTGAATTAATTTAATAATAATAAATTAATTTTTTATTAATTTTGTGTCCACTTGGAAGTCCACGTCATCAAAAATGGGTCTCACATTTGCCACATCAACATTTAAAAAATTCACTAACGGAGGTAACAGAGGGGGCAATTTGTAGGGTTTCCTAAAGTTTGAGTATGTATTTGTAAATGTCTCTAAAATTGGATATGAACTTGAAAATGACCCTATAGTTTGGGGGCTTTTATGTAGTTTGTCCTTTAATTTATAATATGCTTTCTAGTTTTGAATATTAAAAGTCTTCTTTGGTTGGAAATCAATTAGTCTGATTTTCAAATTAATCTGTCTGATTAGGAGCTAATTGATCTTGTTTCCAGTTTTGAAAACCATCATAAAAGGAAGGCTTGGTTTCATTCTTTAGTACAACTTTCGACTACTAGAGCTTTCCTGAGTTTTCATATAAACAAAAGAAAGTTGATGTGCTTTATTTTCCAGAAGGATAAATCATCAAGAGTAAGATTATCTTAGTGATTTGTCTTTGTATTCATCTGCATTCATTTGCATAATTTACAAGGTTCTCATACCTCCGGTGAGCTTGGATCGATCGCGTCATGAATCTGATTCAACATAAGGAGAGAAGGAAGAATCTCGTGAGAAGTTCAGTTATGAAAAGTTGGTACATTGTCCAAAGTGTCTAAAACAAGTTTGTATACTTCTTGTAATCATCGTTCTATAGTGGATTTGCTTTGGAATATCAAGTCCTGTGGATTTTCCCCAAAGGTGGGGTTTTACCACTTAAAATACTTTCTATGTACTTTTTGTTTTTACGTTCTGCACTGTAGAGGATTGTTACATCGTAACAATCCCTTGGCGTGTTTTCTTTATTTTACTGTATTACTCTTGACTACTCAAAACACAGAATTTACTCTTTTAGTGTTATAAGCTATCCTATAGATATTTTCATGAGCTTAGCCAAGTTGGCTAGAGTGGATGTGCTCCCCACTCGGAACCTTTGTTTGAATCCTTCTACTTGTATTTTGGAATAATTTAAAGTAGATTATCACTTGTGTCTGAAGAGAGAGAGAGAGAGAGAGAGAGAGAGAGAGAGAGGGGAGAAAAGGTAGGGGTGGGCACGGTTCGGTTCTATCCTATTTTGACAAAAAATTATCTAGTCCAATATTGTTCGATTTGCCCATAAGCCAGTTGGTTTCCAATTTTCAACCTAAATCTTTCTTCTTCTTTTTTTTAGTTTCTGATTTTTTTTTAAAAAACCGAACTAAAATTTTAATTTTGAGGAGTAAAAATTTACAAATAGCCCAAATTCATGCAAATGGAGGTTATTTGGCCTAGAAAAGAGAGGTGATTTGGAGTTGGACTTGGATAAAGATTAGTTATGGGCTTAGAAATTTAGCATTTGGGTTAAATATTTTATTAAAAAATTACAAAATATGCACCTGATTCCCTTTTCACACTACAAGAACTGAAACCGGACCAAACCAATCCGATGTGATTTTTGGTCAACCTGATTTTTGCCCTTTTTCTTAGGCTCAATTCGGCTCAGTTTTCCAGTTTTTCGATTAGAATACTTGGGTGGGGTTGTTGATAACAATTTCATTTTCACTTCCAGCCAAGACAACGACACTCCTCCAATTCCCAAGATCCGTGGGTGCGCTGTGGTGGGACCAAAGTGTGGTAGTTTGGGTAACTCATGTGGTGGTTTGCGTGGGTTGGTTGTTTTGTGCAGTCGGGGTAGTTGTGCAGGGGGAGACGTGGCGGACCAAGGTGGTCTGAGAAATTGTTGAATGGAAGTGACAATGCCGGTAGGAATTGGGCATCCATAGTAGTTGTTTGCTCGGTACCTTGAGTTGAGGGGGCTTGGGAGGAGAGACAACGAGAGATTTTTTTGTTTTGAATTGATTTAATTGTAAGAATTTTTTAATTTGAAAAAATAAAGAATTGTTATAAAACTAGAGGGAAATTGTAGAGAGAAGAAAAGAAGGGCAATAGAATTTTGCCCTATCAAAACTTGTTTGTTTTATATTGGTAAGACCTCTTATTTATAGACTTACAATGATATAAATACATTTACAACTCATAAATTACAAGCTCAGACACAAGCTATTCTTATAGTAGGTGTTATGGATGTTATGATGATCATCAACATTCCTATGTTTATAAAAAAAATTGTTTATTAATTGTGTTGTCCACTTGGAGTCCACGTCTATAAAAAAAAAAATGAGGCCTATATTTGCCACATCAGCATTTAACATATATACTAACAAATTGACTAACATGGGTAATTTGTAAGGTTTTTAGGAGTTTGAGTATGGAGTTGTAAATGCCTTACAAAATGCGTATGAACTTCAAAATGACCCCATGATTTGGAGGGTTTTATGTAGCTAATCATTCTTTTAAATAATATACCAAATAAAATATAATTGTAATTAATTTATAAATATAAAATAGTGTTAATTTATTCTAGTTGTTGAACAATATATAGAATTGTATAAACACTTTGTTATTAACCTCTTAAAGCCTGAATAATGAAGTTGCATAAATACTTAAATAGACACATAATAAAGTTCTAAGAAAATCTTAACGAAAACATATTGAAGTTTCATAAAAACTTGAATAATGAAATTGTAGAGTGCATAATTTGAATACTGAAGTTGCATATCTCCCCCATAGGTTTATGAACATTACAATAAATAAGGCTCTAGATCCATATCTCCCCGTAGGTTGATGAACATTACGATAATTAAGTACAAGATTAGAAAGGAAATGGTAAGAAACAAGTATAATACTGTCTCTCTCAGAAAATAGATTCACAAAGATGCATGCATAAAATGTGCCAAGTTCATGTAAGAGGGAAAGATGCCTTTGTTTAAAACTATAAGCAAGCAAGTAGAGATTTGGTCATTCCTCGGTATGGTGACATCAGAGGATGGATGATGTTGATAAGGTACCATACAATCAATGGCGGAGACAAGAATTCTATCAAGAAGGGTCAACTTTAAATAGCTTTATAATTACATTAAACTTAGTTTTTATAAGAAAATATATTTAAGAATTCATTGTAATGATTAAATTTCAATATCACAAATTTAATAGAGTGCTGCTAAACGAACCCTAAAATTAATTGAGTACACCCTACTATCAAACTATTTATTGAATTACTAATTTACCCTAATATAAAATGACCAAAAATAATATATTGAATTGTGAAACAAATAAAATCTTAACAAGTACACCTTACTCACTATATTCAATCCTTATCAGACATAGAAAAGTCTTCATATTGTTTGGTGCTCACGTATAACGCAGCGAGTACTAGTTTAGGATTGGTATTACGGAATTAAAGATTTTGATGAAACCCAAAATCTTAAAGGAGGGCATAGATTCATGTAAAAAGAGATATCTGATTTAGGATTGATATTAGAGTGTTGTACTAGGGCTATTTTTGGTAGTTAAATAGGGTGTACTTAGTTAATTTTACATTTTGATTAAAATATTAGGGTTAACTTAGATTATAGGGTGTATTCAGTTAATTTTTGGGTTCGTTTAGCAACACTCATTTAATATCTTAGTAAGTATAACCCAAATTCTAGCAACCTAAAAATAATGAAAGAGTATCAAAAGTTGATTTTAGATAGAATGAGAAAATCAAATAAAATCCATAGCACACGCATATAAATGACATATGAAGACATGCAAACAAATATAGATCATATTCATGTTTATTGTAGACAACGTACATTTGCGAGAAGGGTCAACAATAAATATAGCTATAAAACAACTTGGATAACATAGATAAATATAAGGTTTTCAAAATGTTGAGAAGGGTCAAGTGACCCTTGTGGGCCTTAATTGGCTCTGCCAATGCGTAAAATGCAACCCTTGTACCTTGATATAACCAGGACCTACAGTGTAAGAACTTAGAAAATAGTATGAAATCTCAAATCGAGATGGAAAGATGGTTCATGAAATCAGATATCACTAATATCAGAATGCCCACAATTACTTCCCATTGTTCTATTATGATCAGATGAAATAAGCATCACATTCTGAACCTTTGACCCATGGGGTTTCCCAGAATGGGTATGGCAATATGCATACACGTGTGTGTGTGTGTGTGTGTTGAAAAGTAATGAATTGCACATCAGTTTAAAAATAATGCAGATTTTGATCAAGGACACTTTCATCTTACACTGAAGTAATTATTTTGCTGAACTAAGCAGAACTTTATTGCACTTATCCGCCAGCAACGTATAAATCTTGAGGAGTTCCTCCTTAACCATAAAAAGTACAGAAGCCGCAAAAACACTCTGTGCTATCTTTGTGCTCATCCCTTTGTAAAACCCAGGCAATCCTTCATACTGGATCATCTTCCTTATAGCATCAACAGTACCTGCGGTACCAAGAACCCATATATAGTTCTGTACTGAAAAATTGATTGATATTTGACATGCAAAATAGAGAAAGCACAAGTGAAACTCTCATCCGTTCAGTTATCCATTCAATAGGATGATCATACTTTTATCTCATATACGCTGGATATGCAGATCAGAAATTCATCACAGAAAGGAAAAGTGACATGAGAAAGATATAATCGTAATCTTCAAAATAATGAATCAATTCAAAACAAAGATTGATATGTCTGATATATCAATAAAATGCGAACCTGAGTATCTTAGTGAAATATTCCCGCCAATCTCCTGCTTTGCTTGCAGCCTTGACTGCATAGGCTCAAGGTGACATAGATTATTGGACATTTAAAGCAGACTAGGATGGATAAATCTCACATATGGTCAAACGCAGATTAATGCGCATCTATTGAGTGAGATAAAGAAGTAGAAACAATGTTCATGGACTAGTCACAAAATAACCATATGAACTTCACTCACATGAAGTGGGATTTAGCAGTACTGTTGAACTAAGTTTTCCCATAACGTCTTTAGGATTATAAAGTGTACAGAGTATACTTCACCTTGACAACTAACAACGGATAGGTTGAGATAGTTGCGCCTAGTTTTGCCAAGGCCCCTAACAAGAAGACCTGTCCAAAAAATAATGTAGAGAGAGAGAGAGAGAAGATAGTGTAAGGCCAATATTCTGGATATTCCTAAGAATGGCACCTTCATATGGACTAGAAATGCCAGGTTATTAGCACCTTTTAGAGAAAATGAAAAGCCATGCTTTCAAAACTCAGTCCAAGTAGATCTCATACCTCCAAAGCAGTTATATTTTTTGATCCCTGCTTTCTGTCAGCACGTTTTGCCCTAAGATGCTTCAAGGAGCTCTCATAAATCATGAACTGTATTGCTGGGTTGCAAACCTACCAACCGAATCACTCATTAGTTTGAAAGTGACTCTTAGTGCAGCTAGAATTTATTCAACTATTGAAAACCTAACCATTATAAGCGTTGGGACAATCCCTTTCCAAAATCCAGTAATCTTGGCTTCAGAATAAACCTCGTTTACCTAACCAAAAGATATGCATACACAGCATATAGGAGAAGCAACAAGAAAGACAATCAGGTTAAGCATTTTGTTTTCTAGTACACATTATCAATGTCAACTGTCACCATTGCCTCGAGTTACAGCCATGTCAAGCATAAGGCAGCAGAAGAGTTTCTCACCAGGCTCCATCCCCTCACCCATGTTTCACAGAAGTGTTATGTGGCACTGAAAACCCACTACTTATGAAGGAATATGGCATGTTTCAATGTCAAAGCTCTAGTTCCATTTCATTCAAAATATAGCATAATGCACGTTCAATGTCATGCACATTGGAACAAATAGTACGCAAACAAATGTATAGAACCACTGAAAACATAATGTAACATGAAGGCATGTATTTTTGAAACTTCATACTTGATAACAATCATTTCTTAAAGAACTTTGGCAATTTTTCTAACAATGGGTGAACTATGAACATTGCAACACCTAGACTTAGCTTCTTAGGCAGTGCTTAGTCATAAGAATGACTAGGATTTTATAATTACATTCTTAGGCCTTGATTTTATTTTAGCTACCATGTGTAAGTGTTCAGAAAAGGAGAGAAAGAGATCCATAATCACAACCTTAAAGGAATTAAACACTATACAATCCTAAACAGAATAGGAAACTAAATAACACCTAATGTAGGATAGTAGCAAGAGAAAGGACGAAGAGAGAGATCTGATTTCACTCCGACCTTTGGCATCAAGAGCGGGAACTTGTATTTCTTTTTGATGCAAGAGAATAAACATAAGTGTTCAAGAATGGTCCGATATTCAAAATACCTCTTTGTTTGGAAAGGAAGAATTCAGTTTCAAGCATCTCATGGAGTCTTCGTTGATAACGGTTTAGACTCGAGGACGAGTCTTTTCCAACCAGGGGAGTTTAATGCAGGAGCATTTACAAAGCTCTCTAAGATTACTTAGGCCTGTTAGTCAATTGGGATAGGGTTCTAGTTCCTTTACATTAATAGTTATTTCATAGGTGTTTTCCTATTCTTACTAGGATTTGTTCTATTTCCTGTTTTGGTTTTTAATTTCCTTTGTCATCTAGGTTTTCTTTATTCTAAAATAAATAGGCTATTAAGAGACTCTTGTATGCAGTTTTGTTGATGAATATAATTCCAGACTATAACCTATAGAGTTTCTTTTGGGATATTTGCCCTAGAATTATCTGCGTTCCAACTTCAATTCTATTGTTTTATCCTTCTATTCTCTATTTTTGGGATGTTTGAGTTGCCGAACAGCAACTTATAGCTACCTGCATCACTTTCACTATTAACTTAATTTTAAAGCTACGAAGTAACTTGTTTTATTGGCTCATTGGTACATGAATCCCTGAAATAACCAAATTAATACACTTAGAAATGCTAAAGGACACGACACCTAATACATGGACCATGTAACATAGAGAAATTTTTATTTTTTATTCTTAGAAATCGCATAGAGAGAATGAATATAACACTCTAAAACAACGAACCTAAAATAGATGTCTAGATTGCAATTATTACCCAAAAAAGTACAAAGACTCTTAAGTAACGATATGGTTCAATGTACTTGGATGGACTTATTTGTTATACTTTGTCTGTTATACATTGAACTGGTCTCCTGCATCAACACCCCTTAAAAAAATTGGGAAAGTAAATATTTTAAAATCAGAATCCTAACAACAATATACTTTTATTCACCAACCCTCCTCTTGAGCTGGTGCGTAGATGATAATCATGCCCAGCTTGAAAAAATACTTAAGGACATAACTAAGAATTAGAAACATAAAAACAATTTGAAGAATACTCTAATTGCTTACTAACTTTTATGTTCATTATTAGTTTAATGAGTTTTTATGTAATGTAAATGAGAATCACCGATAAAGTGGATTAGGGAGGCAACTTCCTTGATCAATATGCACCCATAGGTTGTTATTTGGTTGGTTAGCCCTAAAAGCATTGTTGTGTACTCAATCAGGAGGGCTTGGCCAGACTAAGCTAAGTTATTGACTTTTGTTTGAAGTTTATGGCATTTTTTCCCACTCTTTTATTAAGTTGTATGTTTGAGAACTTCAATTTCACATACTTGATAATTACACATAACCTTTAACGTTTACATATTTCTTAGAAGAAATAACACCTTTAACCTTTATAGTTTGGGGCGTAACATAAATACTCGAGCATCAAAAAGCAAAGGATATTGACTGAATACTAACCAAAAATCACATGTCATTTGTTATTGAAAAATATATTCCTGACAAAAGAAGTTGAATTTACCAACCGCTTGCCAAGTTCCATAGGGATGAGGTTTTATTGAATCAAGTTCAGCCAATTTAACTTGCAATTCTGAACCTGTCAAACAGTTTTCAGAAGCTTCCTTTAAGAGTGCTTCCTTTCTTTCCTCCATAATTTTTCTCTCAGCTTGCGTATGTGTCTTCAAAGAAAAAAAAAAAAAAAGTCATGTCATTCTTTCAAAGATGATATGCAAAACAAAGTTATATGCTAACATTGGAAATAAAATCCCATTATAATTATTAATGCATTCAAATATTGTGAAGGTATTCCAATCTAATTAGAATTTGATGTAAATTGGCATACATTGTCCTCGTATGCTCTGAAGGTAATGTTGATATATTTGTGATGGAAAATTCCATGAAACAGTTTAATTGTGCAAAAGGTAGTTCAGAATTTACACACATGCATAGGAGAACAAAAACAGTGAAAAGAGGGTGGGTCTTTTAGTCTAAACATCCAGGAAACCTGCATTATCATGACAAATAACATGAGCTACTCACAAAATATCTCACTTTTCCCTTCTTTTATTTGAGTTTTGCAGCAAAACATATGCAGATGCCAGGAGGTATAAGTCATGTAAATCTAACAGAGGTAGGACACATAGATATTGTTTTGCACTAGAAGTTTCTTTATTCATAAACCAGCACACACTACCACAAAGAAGGCCCTTCCCAGATGAACTACATCAACCTGTAAATGCATTGGATTTTAATCCGAATCTGATTCCAATCCAATACAATTAATAGTATATGGATTTGCATTTTCAATCCGATTTATGATCCAAATTCGATAAACCATAACTTTACAACTTAAATACAAATTAGAGCAAATCTGATCCCAATTGACAGTCTATAATTGATTTTTATATGTTATATAGATTTGTGTATATATAATTTGAACTTTTAATTTTTTTTAATTTTTTTTAATTTACGTAAAAATTTTACAAGTCAAATTAAATAATTCCTCAACTTCTTGGATAACCATTAAAGCATGCAATTGGTGAAAAAAAAAGTGTTGTAATGGTTAGCTAGTAATAAATGTGTCAACAGAATCCGAGATTGTCAGATTGAGTATTCGATAGCAAACCAGATATGGATTTGATTAACAATAATCCGTCAAATTTTTTTTGTTATTGGAGTTTACCAGATATAGGCTAGTCCCGCCCATATCTGATCCCTTTACAGGCCTAATACATTACAAAATGCAGATGCTATGCAAACAGATTTCTTTCTATAATCTTTGATATGTAATCTGACATTAAAGATACATACGTCACTTCGCATATAAAATTCTTTTAGGAAATCATTGTGATATATAATAATAAATTAGCAATATTTTATTTTAGTTTCCAATTTTACGTTATTTTCTTGTTCTTATCACTTTTGTACTTCTAGTAGGGTTAGGATTACTTTCCTGTTTGTAGCAAGATTAAGTTATTATAGAGATGTGCTTTGTAATTCAGTAGAAGCAGACTTGAATGATTGATTAAACAGATTTTCTCCTCGAGTATCTTTTTCTGTGTCTTCTCTTCTAGTATTGATTTCTAATCCTCTATCTTATTCTTCTGGATTCTCCTAGGTCTATCTAGTTCTTTCTGTCTCCTAGTTCTACAATTCCTCTGTCTTCTGAATTCTTGTTACTTGTTCTATACTACATTGACTTCTTCAAGTACAATTGAGTGGGATTTTTGCATACATAAATGCAAATTCCAACATGTGTCTAACAAAAATCAGTTAAAACTGCAAACAAGGTGGTTAAAAAACATAAGCATACATGTATTGAAAATGCAAACAAACCTGCATACGAGTCACAAGAACCCATATAGGATTTGTCAGCAACACGTTCAGGGAACTGCAAGGTAAAATATTTGAAAGAAACTTATCAAACCACCAAGTGGAAATAAGTCACCTACCTATATCCTTCAAAACTAAATTCCAGTTCAACAATCAAATATTTGATAGCCAAGCCAGCTAGGCATAATGATAAATAAAAAATTGAAAACATTGGCTCAATTACGCTCTTACCCAGACTTCCAAACTTCTTCAGGAATGGACGTTATGAAAGAAGGAAAACAAATAGTTTTTTTCTATTTTAATGGCACAAGAGAGGAATTTTTGTTTTGTTTTTGTTTTACCCAGCTAAAGCTGCCACAAGAAGCCAAGAAAACATCCCAACAGTACCATCCCCATGTCCTTTTGCTTTCCGGGCAACTGCAATGGCCTCAGCCTTGTTTTTGAAAACCTGATAAAAATAGTAATAGATGCCCTGCCAGAATGATGTAAAGAACTATCACTAACATTCATTATCCTCTATAGTGTGGCATATTTCTGATTCTATTAGAACCCGTTTGGAATCAAGGATTTGAGTAAACAAATTTTGATAATGGCAATATTGATGGAACGAGTGTTGAAACTTTTTGACTGTTGTAATGGTTTTTTTTCTTTTTTTCTTTTTTTTTTCCCAGTTAATGTAGTTTTCATTGAAATCCTTAACTGAAATTCCTGCATTAAAAACTTTACCAAAAAAACCAAATAAGGAAATTTCAAATTCTTACATTTGAAATCCAAATCCAAATAGCCCTTACTTTATCCAAATCATTTCGAGGAAAAAAAAAAGATATAATGAAAAGAAAGAAGAATAACCTGTGAAGCGGCAGTCCCAAGCAGAGAAGGCTTAAGGCCGCTGTATAGTCCTCCCCAACCGTCGCTTCGTATAACCTAAATATCATTACAAAAAATAGAAATAAAAACAAGGTTGACAAATAAAATTAAAATAAAATGTAATTACAGTGATTTATAATGAACCTGGAGGATTTGAACAAGAGTCCCAAGGCGTTTGGAGTTAGCTAAGGATTTCTTGGCAACTCTCTCGGTTTGTTGGCGCGTATTGACCTGCAATTGACCAAAAAGAGACTAGAGCGTACGAACCAACAGTGGTTTCGTTTTAAAATTGCTCGTAATTAAGAGTGAGAGAGAGAGAGAAAGATATGGAGGAGGAGGAGAAGTACTGTTTGGAGGGGATAAGTGATAATCTGGGCAATCATGCCACCTCCAGCTCCTGCCAGCCCATTCGCCACGGCGTTCGACATTCTTTCTTTCTACTTTCCACTCTCAACTGTTTTTTATTTTAATTTTTTTAATTTTTTTTTTTTTTTGCAACTGCCAATTCCCACTCGGCCACTCCACCTAATTATCTCTAATTTTTTTGAGGCGGTTTTATTCATATTTTTCTTATCCTACCCCCACTTCTTTTCTTTTTTCTTTTACAACTATGATATGTTTTCCAAACAAATCGGCCCACAAATTTGAATTAAGTAAGCAAATCTTATCACCATTTGGTTTAGGGTTTAGAAAAATTATAAAATAGTACTTCATCACTATATTAGCCGGTGATACTTCTATTAAAAATATGTCATGTGGCATATTTTTAAACAACTCACACTTTATTTTACAGCTGGAATTGAAACCTAATTTTTACCACGTAAAATAAAATTATGAAAAAAAAACAAAAAACAAGAGACTAGCAATCGCCCAGCCCAACCCAATCACTTACTCCTGTGCTGCTTGCCTTGGTCGCCTCTCTCTCTCTCTCTCTCTCTCTCTCTCTCTCTCTCCAACTGCTAACACTGCTAAATCATAGCCAGATTTCTTTCTCAACCTTTCAGTTTTATTTTCTCGTTGATGAATGTCTTACTGGTTTGTTGACTTCTAAATTACATATTGTCATCAGATGCGAAGAAGGTTGTAATAAGAGCATGGGTGGAACTACCTTAATGAATAAGGTATGCTGTAGCCTAGGGTGAGTTTTGGGAAATAAAAAAATCAAACCTATATTTGACTTGTTTTAAACATTGCCCAATATGTATTAAACTATTACTAGTCCAAACAAGTCCGATTCATTATGAGTTTAGTTGCAAGCCATCAATAAAAATACACATTAAAATAGTTACCCTTTTAATTATGTTGTCAAATATATTTTTCATTTTATAATATGTGATGTTTGGTTTCATTAATATGTATTTGTTTTATATTAAACCTTATTGGAAATTAGCATTTAGCCATGCACTCGATGTCCTAGGTCTGATTCCCCTCTCCACACATATCGCTCGTATAAAAAGAAAAAAAAATGTATTTTAAATTAGTCAATGAAATTATGAACTAGCGTGATTTATATGATTTAATGTATACTTTTATTTCTAGAAAGACTATAGAAATTGGAAGTGAAAAATAGATTTATAAGATTTTAAGGTAATAACTTTAATTAGCCTACCTATTGAAAAATTTCTGATTCCGCCCTTGAATGAGAGATGGGTGTATCACAAAAAAGCTACAAATTGACCAATAGGAAATTTATTGGGCTATGGGGATTTGGCTTACTTGTGACCAATGACGGCTCATGGCAAGCAAAGAAAGAAGAAGACAGAGGGGAGGCGTTGGGGGTAGGCGTTGGGTTGTGTTAGGTTGGTGGGACATTTTTTTGTCTTTTTTTTTTTCTAATTTTATTTCAGTGGATATATGAATAAAGTCTAGTTATAATGATAGGACCCGCTCCGAATTCCTAGGAATCCGTGACCAATCCTGTGGTTTTTCTGACATCCACCCGATGTCGGGCCCACTTACTAACTTTATCTTCTTCTCCAAAAACAAAGGAAAAGAGGATCGAGACTTTCTGCCAAAATTTCGGCAGAGTCTACCTTGAAAAACAGACATTTGCCAAATATTTTCACATGTAAAAATAAAATCGTAGTTTAAAAAAATTCCCAAACTTCAACATGCACAGTCTACCATCCAAGCACAGTCATAAATAGTTGTAAAGACTCAATCCACAATCATTCATCAATCTAAAACGAGTTTCAGCCCTGTCACAACCACAAACACATTTTAACCACATCCCTTCAGTAAAAACTGGAATATACTCAGGCATTTAATCTCGCCTAAGTTTCAATTGGGCTTTAGGCCACCAACAATTTCAAAACCAAAGTCAACAAATCTAATAAATAGGATTTGATCCCAATGACCAAATTAGAGTTCCAAAAATATAGTTTATTTCGCGGCTGCACCTGGGTGAGACTCCAGACTACCTACATACCCTTACTGAGGGATCAAGCCACACATAGTTCTTAAATCAATAATCACGAACCAGATAATATACAATTATTTTCAGTAATACCAACAAGTTAATTCTAGAATCATCTTTTCCCTTTTTAAATAAAATCACAATATCTCAGCCCATGAACACAAACCCATTTTTCTTTACTCACTCCGTTCTTAAGACTCATAACTCAACAACCCTTTTCCCTATAACAATTCACATATGCTAAGCATAACTCCTTTAAACATTAATCTTTTTTCCCAATATAGTATAATAATCATTTTCACTCTCCCTGTTACTTTACAACATGCCGGAGAGTCTAACACTACGTGTAGTAAAGTAACAGTAACCAAATTGTTCGGATCCTTTACCACACGCCGAAAAATCCAACGCCACGTGTGGTAAAGTAATAAATATCCAAGTGAGCACACAGCCGGAAAATCCAACACCACGTGTGGCCCAACCAAACCATGTTCTACATGCATGCAGACTACTTTACCACACGCCGAAAAATTCAACGCCACTTGTGATAAAGTACTAACAACCAAGTAAGCCCATATGCCGGGAAATCCAACACCACATGTGGGTATAATAAACAAGAAAGGTACGTATGATAGTGAGATTCACAACCCATATATATATATATAATATACCCTCCCTTAATTCAATTTTTTCCCAAATTCTCAATATTTCAATGTACCAATTATCTATTCATAAAAGAAAATAAACTCACAAAAGCATAAATTTCCATAAAATACTATATTCCACAATTAAAACAATAGACTTTCATAAACAACCCAATATCACCCAATCCATATACTTTAATAATAACCATAAAATACTATAAAACAATCTCATAATCCCAACATAATCAAAATAACTCAAATAACAATCAAGAATCGTTTACAAGGTTATTCTAGTACTTTTCGAAGGGTGAAACTACCTCGGAAGACTCAAATTCAACTGAGGGGTCAAACTTCCCATAATGGTCAACGAGGCCCGTGGGGCCACGACTTCCGATTTTCTGATCCGAATGTTCCTACAGGTTCAACAAAATTTACAAAACACGCTCTGCAAGTTTGGTCCAAATAGAGCAATCGGATCGCTCTCAATCGCACGATCAGACGATCACCGTTTTAAGTAATCTTTGAATCATTGATTTGGAGTATCCGGGACTCCAATTCTCGATCCATGAGTTTCTACACGATCCTAGATGTACCTAAATCAACATATTTGGAAATGGAGGCGATCCAACGGTCCGAACATATCGAACTCGGATATCGCCTAATATGCGAAAATCCGATTGACTACCAAATGATAACCAAATTCGAGTATATCGTCATACTCGGGACGACATGGGAAATATTTTAAAAACAAAATGGGCCACCACCCCAGGGCCCACGTGCCGCCACACGAGCTGGCAGCGCTTGGGTGGCTTGAGAAATTTTCGGCAACAGAAATTTCTTAAATGATCACCTAACAATATCTATACCTACGTGATCAAGGTAACTGGGCAAGCAACTTTTATAACTAGGCCGACCTCCAATTTGGCTAGGAAGTGGCCAAAAAACACTGACAAAGTCAGACAAAATCTAGGTTTCTAATCGAACACTCACAACTCCAAATCAATCCAAACCAACTATCAAAATAGCTAGAACACAAAAAATGGATAAAGAAGCATACCTCACTCGTCAGATCCCGTTGCTAGAATCGCCGAAAATGGCGACGGAAAAATCACAATTTTTTCCCTTGTTTCAGTCATTTCACGACTCGAAATCGGGTCTGAAAATTCAGTGGGTTATGTAGAGGAGGTGGAGAGGACACAAGTTATGGCGTCGAATTTGGTGGCCGGTCAACGCCGAAATAGCCTTTGAAACCTGTGGTGTCGCACCGGAGAGAGAGTCGAGAAAGAAAGAGAAGCTGCTGGGTTTTTAAAATCTGACTTTGGACCGTTGTGCCACTGCACTTTCGTTGATCGTAACTTCTTCGTTAAAATTCCGATTTGAGCCCACTACGTGTCTACGAACTTGTATCAATGAGATCTACGCAAAGGTGCCTCTCAAATCCCAAATATCCTTAAGGATCAAAAAGTGACTATCGTGACCTTACTCCAAGGGCAAAACTATAATTTCATAATTAAATAAATTAAATATAGTAAATAAATTGTTAAAATTGGGTCGGGGTGTCACATATAAAAAGAATAATTATTTACTTTCTAAAATAACACATGACATATTTTGAGTAGAAGTATCACCAGCTAACGTGGCGATACCGTACTACTCTATAATTTCTCAAGGTTTAGCGGCACCTTGTAACTCCAAACACCTTGGGACTCTTCTTCAAATCCTAAAGGTTCGTCATAAATCACTATAGTTACATTTATTTTGATTTTATTTGCCAACCTTGTTTTTATTTTTTTTAACAAATTTTTTGAGGGGCTATGCACAGCTACAATGGGAATAGCATAAACACAACTATTTTATTTGAGGGGCACCTTGTATACTATGAATTTTAATTCGAAGATTTAAACAATCTATTTTTCAAGTCTTCATTCATAAATCTTCCTGCCAATAAAAAAATTAGACCAATTCATGGGCGGAACCACACTAAGGGCTACAGCCCAATGTGGTTTTTTAAGGAAAAAATATAAAAAGTCCAATTTTTTTTTTAATAATAAATTTAGTTGGAGGGCAGCAATAAAAATACACATTAAAATAGGTTCACTTTCAGTTATGTTATTGAACATATTTTCATTTTGATCATATGTGTTTTTCAGTTGCATTTAATATGTATTTATTTTTTGTTTTTGATAAATAGCGATAGTATTTTATTGATAGGGTTATTGACCGAAATGGTCCTAACTATTGCTCCAATATCATTTTGGTCCATCAACTAAATTTTTCATTTCAATGGTCCTACAACTCTTCATTTGGTATCAAAACGATCATACCGTCAAAGTTTGTCAATTTTATTGTTAAATTGAGGGTTAAAACTATCCATATAAACTAAAATATTAATAAAGTAAACCTTGAGTTCTCTGTTGTCCCGTTCCACCCCCTTCCCCAACCTCCCCTCTAT